CAATAAGAAAAAATATCTATAATGCAAGAGAAAAGCTTCAAAGAATATGAAGAGACCAAGGGAACAGAATAGAGAGCCCAGAAGTAAACCCACGCATATATGATAAACTAAGCTTTGACAAGGGTGCCAAGTGCACCCAATGGGGAAAGAATAGTCCTTTCAATAAGTACTGTTGGGAAAACTAGACATCCACATACAAAAGAATGAAACTGGACCCTGCCTTACACCACTAGAAGAAAACATAGGGAAAATGCTTCTTGACATTGGTTTTTCATTTTTTAGATATGACACCAAAAGCAAAGGTAAAAAACGCAAAAATAAAGTTGGGACAACATCAAGCTAAAAAGTTTCATCAGCAAAGGAAACAATCAACAAATGAAAAGGGAATCTGCTGAATAGGAGAAAATATTTACAAACCATATGTCTGACAAGGGGTTAATATCTAAAATGTAGAGAGACTTTATATAACTCAATAGCAAAAAACAAATAATCCAATTAAAAATGGGCAAAGGACCCAAATAGACATTTTCCCAAAGAAGACATACAAACAGCTAACACCTACATGAAAAGGTGCTCAACACCACTAGTCATCAGGGAAATGCAAATCAAAACCACAATGAGATATCACCTGTTAGGATGGCTATTATCAAAAAGACAAAAGATAACAAGTGTTGGTGAGGATGTGGAGGAAAGGGAACCCTTGAACACTGTTGGTGGGAATGTAAATTGGACAGTCATTATGGAAAACATCATTATTCAGAGTCCTCAGAAAATTAAAAATAGAACTACCATATGATTCAGCAATCCCACTTCTGGACATATATCTGAAGGAAACAAAATCAGTATCTTGAAGAGATATATGCATTACCACCTTTATTGCTGCATTATTCACAGGAGCCAAGATATAGAAACAACATAAGTATCTGTTGACTGAATGAATGAATGAAGATTATACACACACAAACACACCACAGTGGAATATAATTCAACCATGAGAAAGAAATCCTGCCATTTGCAACAACGTGGATGAACCTGGAGGACATTATGCTAAGTGAAATGAGCCAGATAAAGATAAATACTGTATGATCTCACTTATATTTGGAATTAAAAAAAAAAGTCAAACATATAGAAACAGAGAGTAAAATGGTGGTTACCAGGAGCTGAGGGGTGGGGGAAAAAGGGGAAATGCTGGTCAAAGGGAACAAACTTTCATTTATAAGATGAATAAGTTCTGGGGATCTAATGTATAGCATGGTGACTCTAATTATGATACTGTATTGTATATTTGACATTTGTTAAGAGAGTAGATCTTAAGTATTCTCATCACCTGACTGTGGTAATAATTTCACAATGTATACATATACCAACTTATCACATTGTACATGTTAAATATGTACAATTTTGCTTGTCAGTTATACCTCAATAAAGTTAAGGGGGAAACTAACAAGTATAAAGAAAAAAAAAAGAATATGAGGAGTTCACAGAATAGGAAATGTAAATAAATGTAAAAGGCACTTGACCTTATTACAAATCAAAGAAATACAAATTAAAACTATAGGGCTTCCCTGGTGGCACAGTGGTTAAGAATCCACCTGCCAATGCAGGGGACACGGGTTCGAGCCCTGGTCCGGGAAGATCCCACATGCCGCGGAGCAACTAAGCCCGTGCGCCACAACTACTGAGCCTGTGCTCTAGAGCCCATGAGCCACAACTACTGAGCCCTCACGCCACAAATACTGAAGCCCATGCACCTAGAGCCCGTGCTCCGCAACAAGAGAAGCCATCGCAATGAGAAGCCCGCGCACTGCAATGAAGAGTAGCCCCCTGCTCGCCGCAAATAGAGAAAGCCCACGCGCAGCAATGAAGACCCAATGCAGCCAAAAATAAATAAGTAAAAAAATAAATTTATAAAAAAATAAAAAATAAAACTATAATGATATACCATGTTTCACCTGTCACATTAGCATATATCAAACGTTTAATAACACTGTAATTAGTTAGGGGCATGAGAGTGTTATCATTATTGAGTGAAAATTGGTACAACCATTATGCAGAGTACTTTGGTAATAGTTATCAAAATTGCAAATTCACAAAGTTTTGAAACTAGCAAAGCTATCTCTTAGAAATCACCCAAGATATACTCACAGATATTTGAAATGATGCCTGATTAAGGAAACTTATTGTTTCATTGTTGGAAATAACGAACTAATTAAAAGAGACTGGTTAAATAAATGTACATTTATTTGGATTTAATGGATATTTATACATTTAATGGATTACTGTGCAGCCACTAAAAAAAGAATGAGACAGCACTATATGTACTCATATATTAAGATTCATTGATGAGTGAAAAAAGCAATGTGCAGAACTGTGGTTATTATTTTATCATTTGTGTAAAAATAGGAGAAAGACAAAACATACATGCTTATGTATGTAGCAATAGCCTCTGGGAAAGAAAAGTTATTGGCTCCAAGACAGGGACAGGATAGCAGGATGGTGACAGCTTTTTATTATACACCCTTTTACATACTTTGGATTTGTTTTGACATAACTTCAGACTTACAGAAAAGCTACAAGAATAGTACCCTTCACCTATAAATCCCAAGTGTTTATATTTTACCACATTTGCTTTATCTTTTGCTCTCCGTGTACCTACACACACACACACACATACACACACACACACTCATATACTCATACTTTTTTTTCTGCACCATTTGCAAGTAAGTTGCAGACATGATACCCTTTTTTTACTCCTAACTACTTTAATGTGTATTTCCTAAAACAAACAGATTCTCTTACCTATACATGCTCTCTGAACCTGTTTGGGCTTGATCCTGGATGTACCATTTCCATCTTGCAATTGATTACTGTTAGACCCATCCAGCTTCCTTACTTAGTGGATTTGACAGAATCCAGCTCAAAAATGGTCAATTCCGGATATATGGTCACTTAGTGTCCCAAGGTCAAGTGTTCCAGGAGCCAGTAACATGCCAAGAGCTGTTTCTCAAAGGGTATATATTTCTCTGCTGCAAATGGCATGGCCATGGCCTTGCTCCAGAATGCCCAGGGCCTGTTATGATTCTCCCACTAGAGTTTGCCAAAAATTTCGTGCTGTACCTTTACCCACTGCTGAAACCTCCAACACTGTAAGGTCTGTCTGAGTGTCTGGCTCAAGCAGCAGGGCTGATTGCATCGTGGCCTGGAGTTGCTGTACTGGCCTTTCCTGATCTGGCCCCACTCAAAACTGATTGCTTTCTATGTCACCTGGTAAATGGATCAGAGGAATTTTCCTAGCTGTAGAATGTTGTCACCAGAACCCAAAGAGGCCTAACTGGCTCTGTGTTTCCTTCTTTGTGGAAAGGATGCAAGATGAAAAACATCTGTATTTTATTTTGGAGGGGATATTCTGGCAGGTTCTTGATCATCTGTGTCCTTAAATACTTCAATGAAGTAGTCAGTCCCTGAATCTTCATACCTCCTGGAACACATATGTTTAACCAAGGCGTCCAGCATAATAATTGCTCCATGCTTGTCCTGTATAATTAGCATGATGTCATCAATGTAGTGGTTCAATGATATTCCATGGGACGTCTGTGCAGTCCAGATCGCTTTGGATTACATTATGACAGAGGACAGGAGAGTTGACAAATTCCTGGGGCAAAGCTATAAATGAATATTACAGAGCATGGGCCAACAACTAGCCTTCGTAGAAAGGCAAGTCAGACCGAGCAGTGGCTGGTCCATAGACTGTCAGTGCCAGGGCTTGAGAGGCTGTTCTCCTGGGGGTGTGCTACATCTGGGGCAGAGTTGGAAGCAGGCTGGAATCAGCCCTGCTCCTATTACCTTTTGTATAGGTTCCTATTAAACCACTTTTCTTTGTGTATGCACTGGAATTTCTTTTTTCTTTTTTTTTTTTTGCGGTACGCGGGCCTCTCACTGCTGTGGCCTCTCCCATTGCGGAGCACAGGCTCCGGACGCGCAGGCTCAGTGGCCATGGCTCATGGGCCCAGCCGCTCCGCGGCATGTGGATCTTCCTGGACCGGGGCACGAACCCGTGTCCTCTGCATCGGCAGGCGGACTCTCAACCACTGCGCCACCAGGGACGCCCTGCACTGGAATTTCTATACGTGAGTTTCCCCACAGAAGTAAATCAGTAATTCTACCTTGACAGTGGACGTGGGGTAGACAGCATCCAAGACAGCCCCCCCTTGATTTCTACCTCTCCTGGTCTTCACTCCTACATTGTACCAGGGATGGTCAATGTGACCAACAGGATACAGCAGAAGTGATGTCATGTCACTTCTGTGATTAGGTGGTCGTCTCTCTCTCTTGGATCACTTGCTCTGGGGAAAGCCAGTTGCCATGTTGTGAGCATCCCTTTCGATATGCCACATGGTGTGAACTTGGGAGTAGATCCTTCAGCCCCATTTGAACCTTCAGATGACTGCAGCTCTGGCTAACAGCCGAACTGCCACCTGGTGAGAGACCCTGAGCCAGAGCCACCCAGCTAAGCTGCTCCCAGATTTCTGACCCTCAGAGACTGTGTGAGATAATAAATGTTGTTTTAAGCTGCTAGGTTTCAGGGCAATTTGTTACACAGCTATAGATAACTAACACAGGACCTCTTCTGATTTATCTCAGCCCCTACCAGACTGTCTGGCGTTTAGGAAGTCCTTAATCGATGTTGGTTGGATGAATGAATGAATGGATAATTGTGGCAGCACTTAAATAAACCAGTGATCCAATCAGGTAGTCTGGACTGAGAGTTGAGAAATTTAATTTATAACTTTAATATGGTTTATCTTCTCAGAAATTCAGTTTCTCTCAAATACGTCTTCCTACCTAGTAATAATGTGGCAGTGGAGAATAGAACAAAATAAATTATTTCTAGGAAGACGATTTAACTTACTGATTCAAGCAACAACCTCCACTAAGGTTGTAAAACAAAATTTTTAATAGCACAAAAACCGAATTATAAGGAACGAATGACATAAATCTCCAAGGTAAGTTTTTATTACAAAAACTTTTAATACAATTCAATATTCTATTAAGACTAAAGGCAGGTCCTTGCCAACCCTACTGAGCCATAAGAGAACAAGTCAGGAAAGTGAATATGTTCTCCAGGGTGACTCGAATCATTCCTTTACTAACGAATGCTAGGGGTGTGTGGTCTTTTCTGTTAACATTTCTTTGGTAGTGAAAACAAGGAAGAATAAAATTCTTGGCTGCTCTATAGAAAAACGTGAACTAGAGTGAAAACGTGGCCATAAAACTGCAGAAGAAGCAAGTTACCACAAGAGGGGGATCTACATTCGAGAAAGAAAAGTTGGTTAGCGGTTAAATTTCTCTTTCAAAGAAATAAAAAATGCCTTGAGAAATTTACTCCATTCCTTTATCCTTAGACTCGCAGCTTAACAATCCCTTGAAAATGAGAAACGAATGTTTTACAGAGCCTCTCAGTTTTCTTCGAGGGAGTAGAGAACTTCATTAAAGATAGGCTATTTTATTTCCCATTAAGCCCTCCTTTCATGTACCATAATCTCTCGTGATTCTGGACAAAATAATTTCCTCTGTAAAAGGGAGCATATGCCAGTATGAGGCTTCAGGCAGCACTTACTGTCGTTGTTCTTGTAGGCAATTTGATGTAGTGAAAAGACCAGAGACCTTGGTACCAGACCAACAGGAAGTCAAATTCAGGCTCTGCCACTTGTTAGCTGGGTGACATTTAAGTGATTAATTTCTTTAAGTCTGAGTTTGCTCACATGTAAGTTGTGCAAATTAAATGAGATGTATATAAACTGCTTAGCCTAGTGTCTGACACATACCTGTTCAATAGTGAAAGGCCATTATTATCGTTTCTTGCTTATTATTTAATTCTGTTGTCTGTAGCCACCTAATTCTTAGTTTTAGTGATTCTGGAGGAGTCATCAAGATAAAAATATAAGCTGATCTATTCCTCTTGGTGTCACATCAAATATCTAGACAACCTATGATATGTTGCTCTTTTTGACGATTTTTAGAGAACATTTAAAGTGGAAAAGGAGGTAGGTCAATTGACATACATCTTACAAAACATGGATAGTAAAAGCACTGAAAATACATTTTACAGGCAAAGCAGAAGCATTTTTAAAAGTGGAAAAGATCAAGGATAAAATAAAATCCCCAACGTGAACACAGGTAACGTTCATTACTGTTGATGCTTTGGTGTATAATGTGGAGCATATACCACTTTACATACATTATGTTAATTTAATGTATCTCAAATGTTGACTTTGGTTAAAATATTTTCAAGGACACTAGAAAATATTCTTAAACAGCTCACTAGATCTTTCATAAAATGAACAAAAAATATTTTGAAATTGATGTACTGCTTGAACTTACGTCAGAAATTTGGTTTTTGTGAAAGATAGTGGTTTACAAGGTTGGAAGGACCCACACTCCAAGGGAAGTCTTCAACATCCTGGAAACAATGAAAGAATTCTCTAAACTCCACCTTTTTCTTTTCCCTCGGGGCACCAGTTAGATTCTCTGGTATCCAGAAGATTCACGCCTTAAGCGGATTGCATAGACAATCAAACCCACTGCGAAGAGACCAAGCACGATGGCCCCAATCACGGGAAGCACAATTGTGTAGTCAGATGAACATTCGTCCACTAAGAGAAAAAACAAATACAGCCACTAAGGTTTAGTGAGGACAGACAGAGAAAGCAGGCTAGAGTGGGGAGAATATGAGCTTTGGAGTCAGACCTGTGCTTGACTTTTGCTTCTACCACTAACTGTGTGAACCTGGGAGGGTTATTTAACCCTGCAATTTACTCATTTATAAAGGAAGCAAATAATATATAAAATTGTTGGAGGATGAAATAAAATAACTTTCTCTTCTCAGAAATTAATATTTAATAATTGTTAGTCCTGTTTTCTTCCAGGTGTTGCTCTCTATAAAGTGGGATGTGCTTACGTAAAACAGACTGTGTCACTGTAAACCTTATCTCTTGAAAACATGGGATGTTTCTCCACTTTTTAAAACATTCATTTTTGTCACACTTACAGTTCTGTTTTATTGCTTTTAGTTAGCCAAAAATATTAGAAAATAGACCTAATTATTTATGAGAACTTAAAAGTGAAAGTTTGCAAATTTGTCAAAATTCTTTTTTCTTTATTCTGTTAGAGATTATTTATTCAGTTCATTTAAAATGTAATCAGTCTTGACTGGAGAAAGATGCAAGGCCCTGGGAATAAAAGGGACCTTAATTGAGTACAAATAAATGGAGAACTATATCTATATCTTATTCAAGAACAGATGAGAGGATATGCCCTTGAGGTCTTCCATGAACCAATATTGAAATTATGTCCTGAACCAAGAATCACCATTAATCCAATTCTCACCTGAGGTCCAAGTAAAAAGAATCAGGAGGGGCCAGGGAAGAGGGAATGGTAATTAGAGACTGGGAAAAAAACTAAATCTATACAAGACAGGAACTGTGCTTGTGGTACACTATTTGATTTGGCAGTGGACAATATTTACATTATAATGATGCATACCTTATTGATTTAACAAAAAAGACAGTGATATAACCATAAAAAGGATGGTGTAAGAAGTATTAAATCCTTATCTTCCATAGCAAGAGGTTTAAAGCTGATAAATTAAGAAACAGTAGGATAAGCTTTTTATTATTTTTTAGAGAATTATGGAGATAGTTACCATAAGAAATTGTTAAAACTAGTTAAAGTGCTTTGTCTCTTAGAGGAGGGACAGGGAAATGTTGCTTTTCATGAATCCTTTTAGAGTATATGATAATTTTGTTATTTACATATTTGTTTAAATTACATATAATTTTGTTATATTAAATATTACATGTAAATATTTATATATATTTCTTAGATAGGAAAGAACATAATCTAAGAAGTTAAAATAATTTGGAAAAAAAATACAGAATTGTCAAAACAAAATGTAAAACACATACCTATCAATCCAGCAATTCCACCACTAGGAATTTATACTGAAGATATATTCATAAAGTACACAAAAATATGTAATAATAATCTCCTTTTATGAGAGGAAAATTGACAATCTAAATAGCCATCAAAAATTTACAGTTGTATATTCATACAATAGACTATGATGTAGCCATCAAAAGGAATGTGGTAGATTTCCATGTGCTGACAGGGAAGTTACCTAAGATCTGTGAAGCACTGCATGGGTGCCTAGAGCAAAAAAATACACAAGAAGCTGGGGGAAGACTGGGATGGGAATAGAGGCAACTTTTACTTTCTATATAGTTCTATACTATTTAATATTACATTGTTTAAACATCTTCAAAATGCAGAAAAGTAAACAAAGAAAATAGTTATCCAATCACCATGTTTCTTCCACTTGAATTAATCACCATAAATCTTTGAGGCATTTGTTTCCTCTGTACATATATGTGTGCATGAGTGTGTGTGTGCTCATGTGTATGCTTAAAGAAAAATCATTGTATTTTTAAAAATGATATATGCTCATTATAAATCTCCTGAAAACCACCTACCCAGAAATTATCATTGGTAAAACATGGACAAACATTATTTCAGGCGTCTTTCTTTACAACTGTAAGAATAGATGGGTAGAAAAATAAATAGAAGTGGTTTTATCAAAATGGAATCATACAAATGCTATTTTAACCAAAATTGTTCATTTTAATGTTACTTGAATTTCACAGAAGAAAAAAACTAAAACAAAACTAGAAGAATTACTGCACTTCAAATAAACATGTCTTTGCCGTGGGAAATATTGTTGCATAAAAGATCTCTTTAAGGTTCAAAGAAGAGACAAAAATACACAAGCAGAAAATAAATAAATGATTATGAAATGCATTAAGAGGTTATAAAATAAATTAGAGACGTGTTTTCAAAACTCTGTTTCCAGTTACACATTATCTATTGATTCTGTTTTGAAAGATTAACACTAACAGATTCCCTTCTATTTCTGGTCTTCCCAACTCAAATTCTGAACAGCTATACATATTTTTAGAAACATTGTTCAGGTTTACAATATTTCAATTCTATTTGATAACTGTAATTCCTATAATTTCTAAAAATTCGTTTCAAATTTAGAACACATTCACTATTTAAAGTCAAAATAATATAAAATGCTGTACATTGAGAAGTTTCATTTCTACCCTTGTGCCATCTTCTTAGTTCCCCCTGCCAATATTAGACAACTACTTAATTTCTTATATATTTCCAATGTTTCAGATATAAGCAAAAGTGAAAATATACTTTATTTCCCATTTTCTTCACTATTATGCATTACACGTTTTTTTAACAATATATTTTGGATAACTTTCTTTATACATACACAAACATGTATGTTCTCATTCTTTTCTTATAACTGTATAGTATTCTGTTGTGGAATGTATCTGTCCCAGATTGATGGACCCTTGGTTTGTTTTTAATCTTTTGATATTACAAATAATTCTGTGATGAATAAGCATGCACATGTATCATTTTACATATGAGAAGGAATGATAAAATCTCAGATCCATAATTGTTTAATGATTTTTATAGTTTACTCTTCAAATAGATAAAATGCCTTAAAAAACAAAACAAAACTGAGCTTTCTCTATTCCTGAAAGATGTTTGCTGATATCCTTGCTTGTAATGTGGCTTCTCTCTGATCAAATTTCATTGTCAAGCTGTATCTTTAAGAAGGGCTCATTTGTGCTGTATCCCTTGAATTATTTCATGTTTGAGGATATCGGTCTATTACCTTTTTACTCAGATTATATTTTGGGGCCACACTTTCCCTTAGGATTTTGTAGACATTGGTCTATTGTTTTCTGGCTTTAAATGTTATTGTAAAGAAATCTGAGGCCAATTTTAACCTTCCCCCTTTATAGGTGATTTGCTTTTTTTAGGGGAAGGGGGAGTTTGTATGTCTAAAGAATTCTTTAGTGTTAGCTTACTTTGGATATATCTTAATGTTAAGCTTTCTGTGTCAGGTTTTTTTTTCCCTTCCACCCTGGGATAGATACACTGTGCACTTTCAATCTGCAACTTCAATTATTTATTTTAAGGAAAACCTCTTAAATCATCAAATATATCTTCTTTTTATTTTTTAACTCTGTACTTCAGAGGCACCAGTTATCCTTATTTTAGATGATCTGAATAGCTTTCATACCTAGCAGCTTACCTATAATATTATAATCTTAATTTTTATTAACTGGTTAACTCAGTCTTTTTCTCTATGAAGATAATTCAGTTTTCAGCTCTATCTGTTCTGCCTTTCACTATTTCCATTTATTACGGAAGTGTGTTGCTTTGATGCTCAACTTGTTTTCTTAGGAGTGAAATGTCCTATTTACCTCACTCTTTCATTATAACTTCTCCTCTATGAGCTCTGGTTATATGGAATTCACGTTCTTATTAATTGTCAAAAAACAATTGACAGGTATTTCTCTCTGTTCCTTGAGTTAGGTTTTCTTTGTATTTTATCAACTATATTCCTTTCTAACCCTCCCTCCTTTAATTTTTAAAAATTGTGGTAAAATATACACAACATAAAATTTACCATTTTAATTGTTTTAAAGAGTACACTTCAGTGACATTAAGTACATTCACATTTTTGTGCAACCATCACCACTATCCATCTCCAGAACTTTTTTCATCTTGCAAAGTGAAAACTCTGAATCTATAATTTAGTTTAATCTTATATTATTTTTTCCTGCAGTAATTTTGCACTGTAGTCTTGTAGTTTGTTTTCATCTTGCTCGTTTCCTCTTGAGCTAACTAATTGGATTCTATTTTCTTTTCTATACCTTGGGAACTAGCTACAGACTGGGGTGTCCTCTGGTCTGGGGCTGGCTCCCCAGTTCATTTCCAGCAGTCTGTGTTTATTCTGCCTTGTCTCCGCAGTAGCCATTTTCACTACTCCTACCTAGCTTGAAGAAATGCGGGATCCTAGTTCCCCAACCAGGGATCGAACCTGGGCTCCCTGCATTGGGAGCGTAGAGTTTTAATCATGGACCGCCAGGGAAGTCCCAAGTGGCTGCTCTCTATCTCTCCAGTTTTAGGAAGAGTAGTCAGCATTCACAGAATGTTTTTTTTTTTCACAGTATGGCTCCTTGGGGTAGGTGTACTGGGGAGGGTTAGGAGCCCACTCAGCTGCGCCTCTCCATTCTTCCTCTCAGTCTTGTATCTTTGCTGTTCATCAGTTTAAAATGTTTATTGCATTAGGTTATGTCGTTTTGACTGCTACTGATTTAAAAAAAAAAATGTTTCTCCCCTCAATCTATTAGACAATGTGGGAGAAAAATTCTGTGAGGAAAATTCTAGTCATTATTATTATTATTTTTTTTTTTTTGCGGTACACGGGCCTCTCACTGTTGTGGCCTCTCCCGTTGCGGAGCACAGGCTCCAGACGCGCAGGCTCAGCTGCCATGGCTCACGGGCCCAGCCGCTCCGCGGCATGTGGGATCTTCCCGGACCGGGACACGAACCCGCGTCCCCTGCATCGGCAGGCGGACTCTCAACCACTGCGCCACCAGGGAAGCCCCTCTAGTCACTATTTTAACTCCAATTTTTCATTTCATATATTTCTGTAGTGCTTAAAATTTTTTTCACAACCTATGTGTTTTTGTTCCCATTTGTTTCTTAAAAATTAAGAATTAGTAGT